TACAAAATGTACCGTTAAAATATTTTGCTGACACACTTTTTCTTATATTATGTCATCAGAGAAATCGTTTCATTTTGGCACAAGCTTTAAAATCACTTACAAAAGAATTCATCCAAAAAGGAATTAACTCATCAAGGCTTCGCTGTAGTCTTTTTTATAATATTATTAAAAATACATTTTTTCCAATAATGTGGACTAGCTATTTCTCTTTTAGAATTTACAGTTATTCTTTTTCAAATCCGTTGTAGCAGGCTAATTATGATAAACCTATGCACAATTTTTCGAAATTTTCCAAGGACAAGATGCTAATATTATTGTCTATTAATTAATATCTCACAACTTGCATATATTCTCCGTTTTCATTACTCATTCAAATTTGCTCTCTTCCTTCATATTTTTACCCATGCAATACCCTATTTTGCTCTTTTTTACTCAAAAATTGCACATTTGAATCATACAGTTTTCATGCAAAACTTGATAAAATTTGCATTTTTTTTTGTATTTAACCGCCATTTGTTTCGGAAACGTAACAGAATTTTAAAAGAATATCTGTGACACGTGACGAAGCAATTGAAATTCTTCTTTCTATATATTATTATTATAAGGATTCAGATGTGATATGGAAAGTGCCAGGATAATAAATGATTTTAAAAAGAATTTGAATAAAAAATAGTGTGTATTTTCCTGTATATTTACATAATATGAGTATAGTTTGTGTTATGTATATGTGTTTTTGCATGTGTCACAATTTTTTTTTGTTTCTGATTTAAAATAATTTGTCGTTAACCGGAAACAGAAATTGATAAATAAATTCCGTTCAGTTTTTTTTTTGCTTTCTTTAATTTTGTACTTTAATATATAATATTTCAAATCGTATATATATAATATATACGATTTTAAATGAAAAAATAAGCAAAAAATTTTTATTGTAAGACCAAGGATACGTTACATTGAGGAATGTTATTATAAGGTGTTTTTCAATACAACACATTTAAAATGAACTAGTGCGATGTTATTAGTAGAGGAAAATCATACGAAACATTTAAGTCGTAGTAGTAGTAATGGTAAGGATAGTAGTGGTAGTAGTAGCAGTTGAAGTAGTAGTAGTAATGGTAGTAGTAGTAGCAGTAATGGTAGTAGCAATACCAACAGTAGTAGTAGTAACAGTAATAGTAACAGTAGTAGTGGTAGTAGTAGTAGTATTAATAGCAGTAGAAGTAGTAGTAGTAGTAACAGTAATAGCAGTATAAGTGATAGTTGTAAGGGAGAGGACGCTGTACCAGCACTAACCCACCAAGAGGCTTATTGACAACTCCCCACTATCTATTCCCTTTAAACCACTCGACCTTCCCAACAAAACCCAACCGATATCTTAGAGATGCGCCTGATAGCTCCTCAAGACTACTAAACTAGGCATTTCCTCCTCCTTCTTTTTAAGGCGGAGACAGTAACAGAGCAGATGGCACATGTCTTAACTGCCCCGACATACAAAATTCGAATTTTGTATTGGATTTTTATTCATTTGTAACAGTGTCTAGTAAACAATATTTGTTAAAATTAAGCTATGTAACTTTGGCAAGGTGAATCATAACACCATCCTTATTTTAAGAAATTGATTATTATAACGTAATTTGACTTAGTCCAACTTGTTTTATATATATTTCATGTTATTTGACTGTTGCACAATTCATTTACTTCCAGTTTCCCTTGTAACTTTAAGAACAAAACTATTGTTTCTCCTTCACATCATTCTAATTTCAGTTGAAAACCTCACACTTTAATATTTTTTTTAAATCAAAATCTTCTAAACGTACCATGAAAATAATCTAGCTATGTCACAAAATCTAATTTTAAATATTCATAAAACATTGAAAGTAAAATGGATTTTAGAGCAGAAAAAAAAATTTATTTTAATTTTAAATTCCAAATTTAATAGGAAAAATAGTGTAAAAATAAATTTGTATAAAAAAAAGGAAATACTAGAAAAAAAATGAAAATCAACTGAAATGAAAGACAAAACACAAGTGAACAGGACAAAAGGTATAGGAAAAACAAAATGACGGAATTGCAAGGATGACGGAAAAGAAAAAGGCAAAAATTTTAACAAAATTCATTTTTTATTTAATGAAAAAAATTTGCAATGCAAAATTAAATTTCTTTTGAAGTTTTAAAAAAAAGAAAAAGAAAAATATTTTTTTTCTGTTTGAAGGTTTTCTACATTTTCGATTTCTTAATTGAATTTCGAAATTTCTAATTAGGTTTTTCTTTTTCTCTATCCTTTTTCCTGCAAATATTGATGTGTGTGTGTTTTCATTTTGGTTTTACTTTCGCATAATTTAAAATAAAATTAATTTTAAATGACATTTCGTATAATTTTTGTCACTTTATTCAACGTTATGCAGAGGTGTTAACCGAAATGCCTTACTTTTATAAGATCACATCTTGTATTTAATCCAAAAATTTTAATAATTTTCCTTTGTGAAGAAACCAAGGAATAACGACTTGAAAATCTTAGCAATCAGCTTTTAATCCCGAGCACTTTTGTTATAAATATTGACAATATTTAAATTCAAATTAAAAGATTTAAAATTCTACTGGTTTGTGGCTTGAATACATTAATCAAATTAACAATATTTAAGTAAATAATATTGAATACTATAATGAAATGTGTTACGATTTTTTATATCGAAATTCCGACAATTTTCATTAATATTTTGCATTTAATATTTTAATAGCTTTAATAATTAATAACGCTGTTAATTGTTAATAATAAAATAATTTATTTTAATTATGAAAATTATTATTTTACTTCATAAATATTTATAAAATGCGCCTACACATATGCACTTGCAGAAATAATGAAAATATAATTAAGTTTTAATGAAAACGTAAAATAATAATTATCGTAAACACGAAATCAGTCCAAATTTAGTCATAATTTTTTATTATTTTAATAAAATCGTTTGGGAATGCAAAATTAATTTTAAACAGCACTCCAAAGTACCATATTTTCAATTAATTGAGAAACATATGTTGAATTAGAAAATACGGTATCTCTTACGCTCAAATTAGGGGAGCTTAATTTGCTTCTTAGTCTTATTTGTATTAAAATATTAATAAAGCACTGTATTGTATAGGTAATTATAAACACACCTTTCTCTAATAAACAGTACATTAACATTGTATTACACATGGCATATACGATATAACTGAACTTTTTTCTATATACAATATTACATAAGTTTTATAATATAATTTTAACAAACGCTGTAAAAAATTCTGTAGATAATTTTATAATTTGTATCTTTTTTCACGTAAACATTTCTCACTAACTCATTTGGTTACTCACTGAACCAGAATCCTACAACTTTATGGAATGATTGTTTACTTAAAATTTACTGTCAAGTCCAGAACCACAATTCCAAAAATTAATTTTTTTTTTTTAAATGACTGCATTAGTTGTTACAATTGTTACAAAACAACTAACTACTGATTAGTTGTTTACATACAATGAAAATTTATGTTACAAGAACAAAAAATTGCATATCATCAGGCGTTGGTTTTTTCTTATTCCTCTTATTTTCAAAACACACAATAAAATTTAAGCCACATTATGCACGCTACATACTTATACCATTATTATATTAACGGTATTACTATTGTTTATACATTAAAAGGCTTACCCCAAGAGAATTTACCTGAATGAATAAGGTACATAAGAATCATACATATTTGCAAATATGCACATGTGTCTGTTTGTAATAATGATTTTTTTTTTTTGTTAATAAGAACTAAATAAACAATTCACAGAATTTGAAATTATTTTCAATGTTTTTCTAATTAAAATACTTTATTTTTTGTCTCTTTCCATCTTCATCTTTTCATTCATATTTATTTTATATAACGAATTTAATTTTTTATGTAGGTAGGGTGAAACATTTTTGTTTTGTTTTTCTTTCTTATTCAAAATTAAAAGAGCTTTGTTATAAAATTCTGTATATGTATTTTGTATATACGTGTATATGTCATATTTGACATATAATTGAATTTGTTAAAATATAAAAGAAAACGAGAATTATCAGAGTGAAAGAGATAGATGGAGAAAAAAAAGTGTATTTAAACTGTCAAAGTAGAGAGAGAGAAATTTTTTTTTTGTATTTTCATACTTGTTTGAATAATTTTTCTCTTTGTTGTTCTTGTTTTCCTACATGTCGGGGTATACTAATCAAAAAGAAAAAAATGTTATTTAGGTTAAAAGGAAAATTAGTTTTTATAATTTTAAATTAAAACTAATATAATGCAGAATTTAGAGATTTTTTTTGATATAGCAAAATATGAACAGATTTTTTGTATCATAGCCACAGAACATTTGCATTAATACTGATTAAGATAAAAGTTATTTGCTGCCATAATGAAATGGATGTACCTAAAACAATTCTAACAAATAAAGTACACAGAGAAAAATAGCATTTTATAAACTCAAAATAAATGTTGGTGAAAACAATAAATTGTAATTAACTGCAAAATGAAGTCATTTAATTTTAATTAAGTCCAGAATATTTTTCAGTATAATTGAGAATATTTTTGTTTTGAACGGATTATGCTGTATGAGAAAACTATATGAGAGAATGAGTAAATTTTTGCAAGGACTGCAGTTTAACAAAATTTTGTTCAATTTAACACTAACATTAATGTCATGTAATTCAAAATGTTATAGTGTTATCAAATATAACAAAATCAACTCGAATATTATGAGATTTTATTGTTATACATTTGAAAAGAATTGTCGTCACAACAACCGTCCTGTTGAAATGTTAGGCTTGAAATGGAATTAAAATTGAAAAATTTTTTAATAAAAAAATTTTAATTAAAAATCTCAAAAGAAACACCAATTTCTTATCAAATTATCCCATATTTTAATGGCATTTATTTTATTTATCAGATTCAGTAAAAAATTTAATTAAATTTAATATTATAAAATTTTTTCTTTTTGATTACAGGTTGTGCCAACTCAGCAACTATCAAAATTATCAAATTTAACATATTTATCATTAAGTGGAAATCGTTTTACACAAATACCACCAGTAGCATTCCTTAATCTATTCCATTTAAAAGAACTACATTTGGATAGATTAGATCGTCTTATTAAAATTGATTCAAGGTAAGTACTTTAAAATTTCAACTCTCTTAAGGACCTCCACTGCATTTTTTCTACTTATTTTTAATAGCTTAAGAACCACGGCCAAATATACTCCACATTTCTTTATTTAGAACTTTTGTTCCTGATATTCAGATTAAAATTAATATTGAAGTTCTATTACAAATTTGATGCTGGACAAGCGTCTAACGTAAAACCCTCACGTCAAGTGCGTAGAACCCAAGTCTATCACTGCCTTCTTTGTCTGCAAGTCCTTATTCGGGAGGATCTGAGGCCAAAGGCCCCAACTGGTGGAGTAGCTGAACAAGACTGTGGCACGGCCAATGGTAACGTATGCTGCTTTTGTATGGTGGCAGCGGTACCCCAAATTGTCCTTAACGGGATACAAAGGTTCGCCTGTCTGGGCACAAAAAGTGCCCTGAAGACCTCGCCAATGGCAGCGCTTGAAAGGATGCTGGGACTTGTTCCCTTGCATTTGCATACGGGTGGCGTTGCGGAGGCTAAGACTGCAAAGCTGAGGCTCTCGGAATATATAGGACGTGGCTCGAGGGACCGTAACTCTATCCTGGAGGAAGTTCAATTGGATGGAGAGCTCCTGGAGATGTTGGTAGAAAATGTGAGACGGACCAGAAATGAGACAAAAGAACTACTTCATTTCTGGCCCGTCTGAAAGAAGGGCTATCAAAGCGATTAAATGCGAGAGAAACTTTCAGGTAGGAATGCCTGAAAGGGAATCCGTCGAGGCGTCCGTGTGATTTACGGATAGCTCTAAAGGCCATCGCGGCACGAGTGCAGGTGTATACGACCACAACTATAGGTTCTATGAGCCTTTGGGCGAAGCTCCATACGTTTTTCATGTGGAGCTCTTCGCTATCGAGGCATGTGCTATCCGGTGCTTGCGCGGCGACTCTCGGAAATGTTCCATTTTTATAATTTTCAGCAGTGAGGCTGCTTTGGCGGCACTGAAATCATCAACTTTTAACTTTAACCTAGTTTGCAGTTGCTTTAACAATCTGGGAAAACTGAGTGTGAATAACAAAATTGCTCTTATGTGGGCTTCTGGCCATACAGGAATACCTGGAAATAAAGACGCCGATTATCTGAGTGTGGACCAATCAATGAGGTGTAGCGCTCCCGTGCAGGGCTGTCGCAATCCAAAGACTTCCTTGGTCGACGGATCGTGGGCATTCCTGACATTGTAAGGTGGAGCCGTTCTTCATTGAGAGTTCTATCGTGGTTTGTTACTGGGCATGGGTCCTTTAACTCATATTTACAAAAATTGGCAGATCAAGTACGCAGCGGTGTAGATTCTGCGACCGGGCCACAGTGGACTCCCCTCATGTCCTATTTGAGTGTGATGGCTTGGCCCGCTCTAGATACAGCTTTCTCGGGACCTTGGACTAGGATTTTCATAAATCGTTGTGAATGTCGAATCTGTTAAAATTTTTTGGAAGTCTTATCAGTGGCTTGCTGATATAGATTTTCTTGATTATTGCAATATTAAATGCTATAATTTCTGTCATGGTTCAGTTTCTGCTATTTGAGCAATATAATAACAAATGAGGAGGTGGGTCAAGAAGATATCGAAAATAGGCTCAAAAAACAAGAACAGTATTTTATAGGCTGCAGCCGATGCGAAAAAACAGGCAAATATTTAGAGTAACCCAATTCAAATTGTTTCAGTCACAAGTAAAATTGCTTCTAATACACGACAAAGAAATCTGGCTTGCATTAAAAGCAACTTATCAGGAGCTGCAAGTTTTCAGCAATAAATACTTCAAAATAGTATTTCAAATATTCTGGACGAAAACTAGTAATGAAAAACTCTGTGTAATATGAGCCGAGGAAATAGTCGAAAAATTTATTTTCATTATTTATTACAATCTACATTCAGCAGTAAATATTCCAATAATAATTTTCAATATAAACAAAATCAAAGTTTTTAAGAAATCACAAAAATTTACAAGTCAATAATTTTTGCTCCTTCTTCGTTTACATAAACATAGTGTAAATAATATTGTTTAATAAAACATTTCAAAATTTCTTAATAAAATTCCAATAGCAACAAAATGCAAAAAAAAAAAAAATGAGAAAACAATTGCAACACAATGCAACACAATTCAATATTATCAACATTATTCTGCTTTATTCCCTGGAGTACATAGTTTGTTATTCTTCATCTCTTATGCTTTATTGTCATTGCCTACATATACAATTGCTATATCGGCATGCATGCAACTACATAGCATGCAAGTATATAAGAATTTTGAATTTCTAATATAAATATTTTGTTGATCAACAAAGAATATGTCTGCATAAATCTATATGCATAAAAAATGTATATTTTATCCCGCTGGCAATTGATTTATCAAATATGAAAAAGCGGAAGGATACAAAAGAATTGAAAATAAAATATTAAATTATTCTTAGTTTACATTTTTTTGAAAAAAAAAAAATCCTTTTATTTTTATGTCTACATGTGCAAATATTAAACTATAAGTATAAGAGTCCATTTAAAAGAATTTACATACATACAATCATAATGATATTTAAATTGTTCATGTTTACAATGAATAAATGTATGCATTTTTAAATGTGCATACATGATGTTATTATACACATAAGTTCAATATTTATTTACATACACACATGCATACACATGAAATTCTTCTTGTAAGCAACTATAATATTCTTGTTATTCTTTCCCTAAGAGCATTATGTTTATTTCAGACATTGTTTTTTTGTCTCTTTATTATTGTATAACAATATAATCGCAATATATGTACAGGCAGTAATACAGTTATAGTGATGAGTATAACAGCATGTAGTCTAACTAAGTGTATTTGCATTTTTGAAAATGCAATTATCAATATTATTGAGATTATTACAAAAATTTTATTCTCAATAGATTTACATACTTACTTACACATATAAAAATATTAATATAAAGTTAAAGCTATATACTCTGGGATTTTACACGTCTTTATTTTTCAGAGAATTTTGTATGTTTCCGCAAAACAATACGCTAATATTATTAGAGATATGAAATATATATGTATGCATGTATGTAATGTATGTATGCATGTATGTACATTGTTAATTAAAACAAAAAATCTAAATTCCCTTAGAGTAAAATAGCTTTAAGTGATGTCAAATTTCTTCTACATCCTCTAACAGAAATCTTATCTTAGTTCTGAATATGAATGATATTATTTGAGTTATTTGATATTATTAAGTTGTTTTTCTTTTTAATATCTCTCGCACATGTAATTTACAGTTACTTGAATGATTAATTGCGATGACGCTTGATTTTTAACAAATCAAATCAATATTGGTGTGGAGTGTCTGGAGCTATTAGTGGAATGAGGTTGACTAGGTTGACTGACAGGTATTTATGTCAACGAAGAAGGGAATTCCTCTTCCGAGTTTAAGAACGATGACGGCTTTTTTTTGGGACCGAGCATTTCTATATACTATCGAGTTGTCATATGAAGGCGTGCAGGGTAATGGCAGTAAGAGTGTTAAGACCGATTCACTTGGGAGGATATGTAGTGACACCTTCGAGCTTGGAAGGCTATATGAAAGATATGTAATTACTTGAGGATTATAGGCCAGGCCGGTGCTTTATAAGCCTACCGTTATAAAGCGCCCTGCCAATCTACAAATCTATAATTGATTATAGTTTATTTGTCGTTAAAAATGTTGCTAAATTTTCAAATTTCCTTCTGGAATATGTCAATATAATTTTAAATGTATTAAGAAAATTACTTTCAAATAGTTTTTGAACCCAAAGAATGAGTGGTCGTTAAAAAAATTAGCTTTACTCATAAAAGATGACTTAAAATTAGAAGTAAGAGTAAATCCAAGTTTTAACACTTATCTTAATCTCTGTTGTTCTCATATATTGTTATGCTAAAATGAATTCGTTTATACAATACATCAGGTTTAGGGCCATTCAAAATTTGCCTTTGCTAAATAGTTTACTCTCACACTATTCATTTATTCAGTATAAAAAATTATCATGCTGAAATTGTTCTACATTTGGTGATAATTGCTCTCATATTCTGTAATTTTTGTAAAGATAACAAAAATGTAGCTGTTCTTCATGACAAGTTGAAAATTTAAAAAATTGCATTTAAAAATCTTCAAGATTTCCAATGAATATTTTAAATAAAAATTCGATATTAATAAAATTCTTACAATTTTCCTGAATATTTAAAGAAAAAATTATTATTTTTTTTATCCGAGTTTTTAAATGCAAATTTCATTTTGTTTTTCTTTGTATCCCAGGTATATAATATTTTTTGCATAAACTTGAACTGAACTTTTCTAAAGAAAAAAGAAGCAAGAAAATTATTAGCTTTTACAATTTTTTTTTCTTTAAAAAAAAAAACTATTAAAAAACTTGAAAATACTAGAGAATCGATCAAAAACATTTCAACTTCAAATAAGTTTTTTTTTTCTTACTCTCTTCTTCTCTCTCTTTTTTTTTATTTCAACATAATTAAACTAATTTCGGCTTGTAGTTTCCTTTTCTTTATAACTAAAGGAATAATTTTTTTTTTTATAATTTTTTTACTTTTTTGTTAAACCATTTTTCAATTCACATTAAGGGATGCAATGTCGAGGGAACAAGAACGAAAAAATTGCCTCAAAAAATCATTTTTTCTATTTGAATTTTTTTTCTCTCTCTCTCTCTTCTTTTAAATACATCTACAACCAATATTAAAAGCAAACTATTCTTAAAATTAGAGACATGCATATAAGATTATTATTCAACTATGTTCATGAGCTCTTTTCCTCTCTCTCTCCTCTTCCACTCTTTCTAATCTTAAAAAATAACTTTTAAAAAAAAATTTCTTTTGTATATTTAAAAAATTTCGAGAGTACAATATTCTTTTAAAATATTTTTTTGCTTTTCATTTGAATATTTTTAAAAGATCTGAGGGATTAAATTGAGGGTAATATGTAGGTTTATATTATTATATACTTAAATATTATAA